TAGCAAGTGATCTGTGGAGCTGCTTGTGGCTCAGATCTGGAGGACATGAGCCTGCAGGAGATCCACTAACAATCCTTTTGCATCTGGCTACTTCATCAGCTCATCTAAGCATCTCCTCTGAGCAGTGGCCCCTTTATATCCCATACCTATGGAAAGGGGGTCAGGAAGGATGAGCTATGCCTGCAGGACATGGCCTGGGGCAGTTGCCAGTACAGAAGCAGCTTAGCTTTCCAAAATGCTTTCTGCAGCTTTCCTGATGCTTGCTGATTTCCTGAGATATTTTGATTTCCTTGATCAAATCATCATCAATCAATTCAGTTTTACCATTACTGCTTTGGCATGAGGCAGCGATAGTTGTACTGACTGAACTAATACAGTTTCCATTCTACTTTTCTGTAAGATGATGTATAAATTTATCAGCACGTTTAAGGATCAGTTTTGCTTTCAACCTAGACATACAACTCACCTTTGTAGCAAAGGGATACATGTACCTTTAATAAGCAGAGCATAAACATACTAATGTTTCTCTAAACTTCTGCTTCTAAGTTCTTACCACACAAAAAGATGTTAAACTTCATCTGAACATGCCGCAAAAATTTCAAAAGCCATCCCCATAGTGATATGCAGTTTCTTCAGTGCTGTTTTCACAAATTTTTCACTCTTAGACCAAATGTATACCTTCAGAGGAATTCTGACACACTACAGTAATGTAATGCTTAATTTGCATGCAGCACAATAGCACAGATATTGTGTTTTTCTTAACTGTGCCTCCAACCTGAGAAACCATGTACTGCACTTTAAAATGTCCCTTTGACTTTTTAGAATTGTTCTGAAAATAGAAAACTATGTTTTACAAAGAGCAAAGGAAATGTAGCCATGAATCTTATGCTTTGTACCTAGCACAGCCCTCAGGTCCTACTGGAATGCAGATTTTTCCATTCCCCTTCTGTCACCTCTTTGCTCTCAGTTTCTTTGGAACACAGCAAGTGCAAGGAACCTGGCTGGGCCCTGACTGGTGTTAAGCAGGAGTCATTAAATTAGGAAAGGGAAAGAGGTTGCTTCAAACAGTGAGCAAGTTCCAGTGCACAGAGGGAGAAGGTCTTAAGCCTAGGAGAAATGGGGACACATATATGAGACATAAGAACCATGAGACACAAACAAACAAAGGTACTTGTCTGGACAGGGATTCACAGGTTGCATGTAACAGCAATTCCCAACGAACAAGGAAAGCTGTGCATCCAAATGAAAAAAAGTAACATATGATGATTTAGCAGAAAACAGGGAAGCACAGCGTAATGATCATCATAGAAATAGTTGTCTGGATATTCCAAGTTATGCTTTCTCTGTGAGTGAGTGATATATCCTACATGTATTTCTTCCTGTGCTGGGAGGGACAGGCCAGACCAGTGTAATTGGTGGTTACCTCTGTGAGACAGATGAGAAAGTATAATCACTACAGTTTTATTTAGGTCCTGAGAAAGTTCTGGCAAGTTAAAACACACTATAGTTTTAAATAAATTACCTTATTCTGAAAGAGCTCTGCAGAAAGCAGAAAAAGCATTCATTGCTGTTACTTCAACCTTAGTTTAATTTCAGATCTTTGCATGAATATAAAATGAATGCACAGGGCTCCTTGGGTGTTTTTATTTAGCTGTAAATTGCTGGGTATAGCATCTTTTCATTATACCTGCCTGACTGGGGGTGTTTCATACTAAATTCTTCTTGAAAATCTGCACATAAACATTTCTTGAAGTGTCTGTGGAAAAAAAAAAATAAAATGTGGAATAAAAAAAGGAAAAAAAAGAAAAGAAATTGTGTGTTTAAAGTGCAGCTTAGCACTGGGACATCTGACTCAGCAACCCAGTGGGTACTGGGTGCCAGCAGCCTTGCTAGCTCTCTTCTAAGATGGGGACCTCATAGAGCAGATCAGGCACCACTGACACAGCAGTCAATCAAAGCATCTATAATGAGAGGCAAGTTGTGACGACCCTTGATCAGGAAGAACTGTATTTAGGGCTGTCTGCAACCTCAGACAGTTTCAGCCCACATTTCTGTCACCAAATTCATCCCCATCGTCAGGCTCCAGAGCATGAAAGATTGGGATATTCCCCATTCGCTGCTATAAAGCAGGACCATGCACAACCATCCATACTAGAAATAAGGGATCAAAGAGACAGCAAGTGAAAAGGAGCCTGACATGGTGCTTGCCTGCTTGCTTTCCTGGGAGCAGAGCAGAAGAAGAGCTTCTGGGTGAGGGAAGGCCTCCGGACCCTACATCCTCCTTCCCATATGAATGTCCCAGCCACAAAGCTGCAGCAAGGCTCCTTTGGCACCTGCACAGCTCTTGGAATCCCAGACACACAGCCACAAGCCAATCAGCTGAATTTATTTGAAAAACAGAGCCAGCACCTACCTCCGTGTATGGGGGAAACAAGCCCATCTTCAGGCAACAGAGCAGTGTCCAAGCCCTTGCTCTCTTTTCTGAAGCAAAAGATATAAACATCAAGCAGGAACAGCAGCAAACAGCACCCTGCTATGAGAGTGTGATGATCCATAGTGGGGAGGACTACTGTAGGCCACCTTGTCATTTCTCTCTGAGAAGAAAGGAGGGGAAAGAAAATTGTGGGTATTAGCCCATTTACCTAGTTTTCACCAACCACACAGCTATTATATTGGTGAGCTAGGGGATAGCATGAAACAAGGAAAGAGTGAAACATAATTTAAAAAATAAATGAATTTTTAAAAATCTAAAATCTTTGCTCTATAAGATGATGATCAGCTCTTGTTTATCTGAACCAGTGTACTCACACCTACACCAAACCCACTTGATTTTCCTGTAAGGAGCACATATTTAACTCAACCCACAGTGCTTGAAGATAGCCCTATTAACTCCAAGCTACTGGTTTGAATAGCTTTGAAACAAAGTCCACTTCTATTTTTTTTAACAGTGCCAGTGTTGCTGCTATATTACAGCCCCTTAAGAAGGAGAACAATAACACACACTATTGGGTACAAAGAGAGTACAGAAATTAATTTCTGCAGCACAGGAGATTACAGGAAATAAACTGCTTACGCCTGCAGAGACAAAGCATGTGACAGCAGGAAAGAATTTGAGTTTGCACATGTGACGGACAGCGTTGTCTTACACCAAGCTTCAAAGACTTACTTAAAACCTTCAAGTCCATCATCAAATGTATAGTTCTCCATACAACGACAGCTTATAGCGATAAAAAAAACATCTGTCTCTTTGTAGAGCTTCTTTCAAGTAGTAACTCCCTTGAAGAGCTTTATAAAAGCCAAGTTGATATAATAAAACAGTGTAAATCAGTGTAAATGTCTGACTTCATGTGCTGGAAGAATGGCTTGCTAATTCTGTCTTTTCCCTGGCATTCAAGCTTTTTCAAATATTTGTGATGGCGAAAAAAAAGAATCAACATTTTTTCAAATAGAAATCTGATTTCAAAAGGTTAGGATAGTACTCGTACTTGAAAAAACTGAAGGAGATGCTCTTCTTGCTGGATCTGTGCTTGATTTGACTGGGATTTTAGCAGTGTTAATATAATGCATATACACTGCTTTCCTGGTGTAGGAGTAATGTGTGTTATGGCAGCTGGGAGGATACAGATGAGGAAATGTACTCAGACAAAGGAGATTTAATGCTAAATGGTTACTTGCTGTCTGCAAGTAATTAATGGAAATCTGCTAAGCATAGCTGGCATCATTACGAATCATGAAGAGAGTCACAGAAAAGCCATGGAAGACGCCAGTGAATCAGGGCTTACAAAATATCATCCAGATCATCCATTGTTTTGGTTCACTAATGAGACACAAACTCAAAAGGCACCTTAGCATCTCAGTGCTGGGAGTGAAAGGGTCCACACCAAATGGACATATCAAACAAGAACAGGGCTCTGGGCATTAGAACATTTTTTTCCCATTTTGTATGTATGACAGGAATTTCATGGAGCTAGAAAAATAAAAGTATGTAAAATCCAATTTACACCAGAGACAGCATAGCTCAGAGAATAAAATGCCAGGTACAGAATAAGTTGCTCCTTCCCCTGTTTTGCTGACCATCTGATATTTTGCTGGAATTGGTCATGGCTATGGAGCCGTAACAGGCACACTCTTCTTAAACATAAGATTTCTCATTTTGGCTTTTGTAAGGTTAATTACTATGTGGATTGTTTTCTTTCATATCCATGTGGCCCCTTGCACCACATCTCTGGAAGACAGGTGGTTTGGCCAGGTATACTTCTGTAGTAGGGAGTCATCAGAAAAAGAATGGCAGAACGATGTGGAAACATGGAAGGAACTGCTCAGGAGGAGGATACCTGTGCTTAGTTTGTATCCTTGTAGGCTGGCCAAGATCTTCAGGATGGCAGGAGTCAGGAACCACATAAACAGACCCAGAGAAAAATGCCATTCAGGAGGGCTGACGTCTTCTTAATCTCAGGCTTGCACACACACATCCTCAGTAAAGGAAGAAATCAATAATTTGTCTCTCAATCAATGGCATGATTGCAAGATACCTCATGCAACTTGCTCTAAGAGTGAGATGGCTTATGTTCCTCTTTCACTTGTGATATTACAGGATGCACTTGAATGTGCAAATTTGTGAGCGCTCCCTAGAAAATCAGTGAATTAACTTGAACAACTGCATGTCTATATCCATCGTGTCCTCAGCTACCAAAACATTCTGGCTTCAGAAATAAACCTTGAAACCAATGAAACCTTAGTTTTGCTGAGGTAAAAGTCAAAGTCTGACAGAAGTAAAAAATGAGTCCGTGGTTGTTATAGAGCCCTAGCATCATCTCTGGGGATGTCAGCTGCACTGCAAAGCAAACTCAGCCCAGGAGAAAGGGGCACAGGACATGAGGACTGTTGATGAATGCTGCACGCTCCCTCTTCCCTTGCCATTCCAGTATCGTCTACAACCTGATGTACTCATGTTTTCCTTTTCAGTGCTCCTTACTGATCCAGACTTTGCTTCAGTCACTATGAAGGCCTCAGTCATTGCAACCTTCTTTGGTAAGTACAGCTGACGTGATGCAATTAGTAGTTAGTAGACTTGTACTCCCCTGTTCTGGCTGATCAGTGGCTGCTGGCGTAGTAAGCCTTGGCACAGCTTTTCAGAAATGGGCCACCCAGATTTCCTGACTTTTGCTTAGAAATATGTAATATTAATTACTCAAAGAGATTTCTAAGTGCCTGACCTTAGCTAGACACAGTCTACATCAGGTGCATCACCAGGGCTGAAAATATCTGTAACTTAAAGATTCACTACAAAGAAAAATCAGCAATTAATTTTGTATTGTGAGCATCTTCTTTTCCTCCAAGTTTTACAAGAACACAGAGTTTTCTCCTATCAAGAAGGTTCCAATGCAAAATGTTTACAAATGTGTCCTCTTTTCTTCTCCTAGTAGTCTTTTTCTCTCCCCAGCTTCCTAGTTACTTAAGTCACAGAGATGTTGATCTGCTGGTATCTCTATCACACCAATTCCATTATTGCACCACTCATGGAAACAGTTGGCTTTTTTGTTGTGTTCTGGATTATTTAGACTCAATGGCATCTTTTGACAATGAGTTCCGCAGAAAAATATGTAATCTGTTGGTCTTGAATCCCCTTTAGAAAGCTGACATTTTGATTGGACAAGTTGGCCAACAAGTAAAAACTTAGATGTGTCATTAAATATTCCTATTTCATTTTTTCAACCAGTTGATTAAAACTTGGGAAATCCCATGCAGAGAAGCTTGTGGTGACTGATGCTGGCAGTCCACCTTTTTCCTGAAACTGTGTTTTTTTTGTTCTAGGGGTACTTCTTGCGTGTACATATGCAGCTAAGGAAGCCACAAAGAAGACCAAGAAGGCTAAACTATGTAAGCGATCCCATTAACATGCTTGGCTGCTTTACAGCAAGCAAGACTGATGCATAAAAATGTCTGAGGTGATAATCTAGTATCTCTTCTTTACAGAGTCTAGTAAGTCTAGTTCTTTACAGAGTCAATGGAAACATACATTAAGTAAAAGTTATTCTACTGAATTAATGTGTGATACTGGTCTGTGAGTGAAGGGGACACTGTGTATTTCAGTATTAAAATGTGTCTTCATTTGTCCCCACTCACCATACAAGGGTCATCATAAAGCTTTTGAAAGAGATCTAAATATGTGAAATGAATCTGCTGTAACATAAAGCATATGTAGTTATTTAGCGTGAGAGAGGTTGTGTATGTCTTATGCATTAGGATGCATAACTTTCAGTTCTACAGACTGTTCTCATTATTTAGTCAAAATAGGAGTGTGCTGGGAGGTGATGACTTATATTTAATGCCCTGTGCAAAGTAAATTGTTCCCAAAAAATAATTTTAAAACAAAGGGGAAGATAATGGAATGTGGCTGCAGCCTAGCATTACAGATGGCACAGAATTCCAAGAGCATGGGGAAGATTTGGGAAGCATCATGCCTCTTGTGTGCATGGTTATTCCTGGTCTCTACTCACAGCCCCTCTTCCCCTACTGCTTCCTTCCTCAGTGGTAACCACAGCCCAGGTTTCTTTCTCTCTCCATCAGAGAGTCATATCTCCATTAAAGAAATAAACACTGAAGATCAGAAATAATGATGGAGGGAGTCTGCTTTGTAGAGGGGTTGGAGTTGATGATCTCCAGAGTTCCCTTCTAACCCCTGCAATTCTGATTCGGTGAATATCCTCAGACTTCATCATTCCATCCATACAGCCACAATCCTGGGTACAAGGCTTGTTACGTGTTATATTGTAGATGCAGAGGACACAGACATTTCTTATATCATAAAAGCATTGGTGTAAGAGCATAAGAGGAGGGTGTGCCTTTCATTCAGTTACTCATTCTTTTATGACAAGATCATTCAGCTATGAAAGCATTCAATCTGACTTTACCAAGATTTTGCTCTCACAGACATACCTCAGATTGACTGCGATGTCAAGGCTGGGAAGATAATAAATCCAGAATTCATTGCAAAATGCCCTCCAGGATGTCAAGATGTAAAATACCGTGTTTATGGCACAGACATTTATGCTTCTTTTTCCAGTGTGTGCAGTGCTGCAATTCACAGGTGAGTGGGTTAAACTGAGCCAGGCACCCAGAGAGAATCATCACTCATGGCTTTTCAGGTCCTTCAAAGTTCCCAGTGCCTTGTAAGTCTGTTTGCAGGCTGCTGTTCTGGTGGAAAGCACACAAGAAAGATTGTGTGTGTTACTATGGATCCAATTCTGACAACTCTATTCCTACTGAAATCAGTTGTGTTTGAAAGTGTTCCTCAGCTGTAAAAGTGTCTTGAGATTTGCACATCTCAGATTACTGAACTATTCTCATTCAAGTGGGATGGAACTGCTGCTACTAATAAGGTTTCGGAAGAAAAGACTGACGTATCACTGGCAATGAATATGTACAGCTCACACACTCGTGGGACTGCTTTTAATTCTGGGGATTTGAATTTAACTGGTTTTGATGTCAAAGGCTGAGTAATGTGCCTTTCTGACACAAAAGGAAATACTGGCCAAAGAGACGCATAATGAAGATTTTATAGCACTAATTTTGCCAAATTTAATTTGCCGTGCAAAAAATATGCAGATATTTTTAATGGAGAATCACTTCACAACTAAAACACCGCATTGCAGGCAGGATGCAAAGGCAAGATGCATTCAGATACAAGTACAGGAAGAACTTGTAGAGCCTGATTGACATCTTGGCTTCATTCAAAGAGTTATCACAGTGCTTCCAGTTCTGAGAAATATCTGGGAACTTGAGTAAGTTTGAATAGTTAAGACTTTGAGACTTAGTACCTTATTTGAAAAACAATTTCCCTTGATTTTGTGTAAGAGAACTGTAGCAGCACTGAGAAAGTGTAAGTGCTCATGAATCTTTGGTGACATCAGCTGCTTTACCGGTGGGAATTCTCTGCCCTCCTTCCTTTCACAGTCCCATCCCATGAACTGCTGTGGCCCTGTAACAGCCATAGTTCAATATGACCTGCTGAGATGGAAAACTGTTTTAATGCAAAGCTTTTAATTGCCATGGAAAGCTGTCTCTAAATTAATATAAAATGCAAAACATTTAGCTTTCTTAATTCAAGCTGCCTGGCATGAATTCTCACTTGAACATGTAAGAAGACAAAAGCTCTGCTATAAGGGGTGATGCTTGCGAGAGGACAGCAGAGCCCTCCCTGTGTTGAGGTCCACTGCCCAGGGAAGGACTGCATGGTAGTGAATTCACTACGAGGATGCACTCCTGTGTGCCACTGGGCACAGGACTGCCCTATTTTGGCTACAGTGGCCGCTGCTCAGCCTTGTGCTTTGGTGATGGCCTTCAAGGGTCTGGCTTTCACACAACAAATTCTTCCTTTGGATATTAGTGCATAATGAAAATTGTGTGGTCTGCAAGCAGAGCTTGTCCCAGTGAGAAGGTACATAATACTGATAGAGAATGCAAATTTTGCTGTAGTCCAGATGCCAGTTCCCTGTATTGGAATGAGAATTTCAGTTTCCCCATTTGCCAGCGGAGTTTGGCTAGGTTAACTTACACGGCGCACCTCCACAGCTTCCAGTAACATTTTGTTCAGCTTACTCTGGGCTAAAGTCAGAACCAGGCTCAGTTTTCTGTGGATAACGCACACTGAAAAACAAAGAAAACATTAGTTTTTGAAAAAGAACAAGTCAGGAAAATGGAAGGTTTGTCTTTGATTAGTATAAATTATTATTGTTGCATGGCTGGCCCTCCAACTCTCAGAGTGCATCTCCACGTCTTCAATCATGCAGTCGTGCTTGTAGGAATTGCAAGGAGGGCAGAAACTTGTCCTTCTGTGCAACTCAATCAGCCTTAAGCACTGACCTTGTAGATCACTGGCAAGAAAAAACAGAGACTGACAGTGCTGTGCAGCTGACTGCTCTTCTGTGTTGATGAAGTACAATTTTTTCTTAGTAGCAGATTCAGTGGTAGCTTCGTAGCTTTGCTGTAATTCCTGGCTTAAAAATGGAAGCAAGTACCTCCTACCTCTTGCACTGTTTAACAGTTTTTGTGGCTTGGGGGAGAATTCCCACCTTTAGCTACTATGTTTTCCCCTTGCAGTGGTGCAATAGACAACACAGGTGGGAAGATCCTTGTTCAGAAGGTGGCTGGCCATGCTGGGTACCGAGGGAGCTTCTCCAACGGAGTTCGGTCGTTGTCATTGCCACGCTGGAGGGAGTCCTTCCTCGTCTCAGGTACTGTGCTGAAGCACCTTGGTTAGTTTTTATTCTGGGCTTCTTATGGAGACAGCAAAGAGAAATACACTCCACTGGAGCTGTGCACTGCCCATTGCAAGTGACAGATCTACACTGACTGCCGTTGGCATCCCAGCTCCTGCTCTTGATGCTTAAAGTCCAAGCCTTGGGAATGGTGGGTGGGTCTTCCCTTGCATTTGCTCCCCTGAAAAGTACTGCAGCCAAGCAAGCTAAGGCCCTCAGTGTGAGTTTATGTCCATGTCTTCTGAAGTGACTTGTTCCAGTGCTGCCATTCAGACTCTGCAGTGAAGCTATATAGTCTGTCTTGCGCTGGGATGTGAAGGTTTTCTTCGTGAGTAAACCAACACATTTTCAGTGTACCTGTTGGATGCAATGACCAAGGTTCTCTGAGTTCCTAAATAAAATTAAGAATGCATAGTTTAATGATATATACATTTCAAATAAAAAACTGTTAACCTATCTCAAATCCATGTACAAGTACCATATTGCATTTGTACAAAGTACTGAATTAAGAAATTCTATTGCTGTATCCCAAATAAATTATGAAATGCTCCCTTCTCTCTTAGCCAGAATGTTGTGATATCTACCCAGCACAAGGAAATACATTTTAGTACTAAATCATTCCCCAGTACATACAACAGCTCACTGGATTCAGTGATGAATGTCACCGATGTTTTTGTAGGTTAGATCCTCTTTGCACTGATTTCATATTATCTCAAACCTGCCTGAAATCATTCTGCCCGTACAAATGCAGGGTCTAATTTACTTCACATACAATTTGTAAATCCAGCTTCTTGCTTCATCCAGACAAGGGTCCGTCTCTTGCTGGTCTACACTTCTGAAGGTTTGGGATAGGTGTGACCAACTGATATTAGTTAACTACATCATTTCTGGAAAAATCAACAGCTCAAGCAATGGAACAGCCACTAAAAATAAAGAAATGTTTTCATGTGAAAATTAGTGGACCTTATTTAATAAGGTCTTAGAAGCTGACCAAATTAAATTGCCATCTGGAGTTTGCATTAATATATTTGGATGCACTTTTTACAGCATTTTACCATGGGTACACCACACCATGAGAAGGATTTATTTTGGATGAGTATGGCTTTCCTGGAATAGCTGAATTGCTACTTGTACTTGCTGCTGTTTTTTTTCCAACAAACAGCACATTGTAATCCTGCTGCATAAATAGGAAATAAGATCTTTTTACCTCAGCAGCTGCTCACTTGTCATCATATAAAACTGCAGGGACTTTTGATTTGTAGTAAAATATCTTTACTCTTAATTAATGAATCACTATGACAGATGATACTAGAGAAAGTTAGAAACATAGATAAAGATGAAAAATCTGCACACAGGTAGGCATGATGAGATTTGTCTTTCATGTCTAAATTTCAAGCATGTTGAACTGTCATTCTAATGCAGTGGAACTACATTACAAACTGCTTCAAGCATAAATCTAATATAACATAGTATGTTTGATATCACATTTCACATACAAGTAGGAAGGAAATTCTTACTAACTATACCTGCAGAAAATGTGGCAATCTTAGAGATAAATTCAGAAGATTAAATTCTCAGGAAGGCTGTGCCAACAGTTTATTTCCAGTTAGAATATTATCATGGAGAGTGTGATGTTTACATTATGAATAAACGTCCACACAAAAGAGCATGGAGGAAGAATCCTTAGGAGAGCCAGGCAATGAGGTGGCGTGATTTAGGAGCAGTGAGGAACAAGGTCTGCCCCCTGGGATTAAAGCAGCGAGCACACCAGGAGGTATGCAAATGCACTGGTATTCACTTTCAAGCACTGAATGCCTTGGCATTCAGCTGAATGGCTCCATTCAGTTTAGGGGGAGTTTGAAGCGAATGGGTTAAGAAAATAGAGCCCTAAACCTCTGGGTTTCCTAATTGCAAATAGGCACAAGAGGGTGAGTGGCCACCATCCTATGGCTTGTACTTCAAACAGCCAGAAGCTGAGGTTTTCAACTCACATGTAAACCCATTTTCAAGTATGCTAAGCAAACTCTGACCTAGATTCAACTTTTTCCAGATGACATATCAGTGGAAAAGACAAATTACCATAGCTCCAGAAATCAGGGCCACATCCAGGTCAGGCTTCAGAGCTACCATTTGACAATATCCTATATGGGATGCAAGCTGATGTTTATCACAAACCACAGAGTCCAGCAGTAGCCAGCTTCCCCTTGGCAGATAGCTTATTTGCGCAATGAAAGTAAGTTTTCATGAGAAATGAGATTAGCTATAAGATAAGATTATTATGCTATTGCCACATTTGTGTGCCAATAACTTACGAGACAATTTTGAACTGCTGGGGATAAAGAAATGCATTTAGACATCATCTGCAGCCATACATCTTTTTCACCTTTCTGCCAAATTTTGAAAAGAACTCCCTACTCCCACTTAGCTCCTGAGGCCAGTTTTGCCTCTGTAAAAAATGGAAGTGAAGATCTGCTGTCCTTAACTTACTCCAGCTTCTATGGGAAACCCAAGAAAAAGGAAAAAGATCTTTGCAGCTTGTCCATGCATGTCAGTTGCCAGCTTGGCTTCTGAGGGAGCTGTGTTGACTTCAGTGGAGCTACTCCCAAATTATACCAATGTAAATGAGAGATGAAATGGATCCTTACAGAATTGCCCCATTAGTAACTCTAAGCAACTTCTTCAAAGTAACTCAAAGTAACTTCTTTATTGACATCTGAAATTTCAGAGAGGAGTAAAACAAGGAGGCTAGAGACATGCAAAGGGACGTGAGAGGGACAGCCTGCTCCAGCACTCAGTCTGTACAGATGAGTTCTGTTGACTATTGTTGGTCTCTAAACAGCCACGATGACAGCTGAATGTTTACTAAAGGAACCACTGAGAGCATAAGGGAAGCAATCATCAAAATTCAGGTTTTGCAGGAAGTGGAGGTAGGTCTAACCGAAGGTAGTACAGATACATGACATATCACATCAGTTTGTAGAGAGTCACCAGGGAGCGGAAGTCCTTATCAATGCCACATCCAAGCTTGCAAAGTTATGCTTTTTCCAGCTCCTAGAGACCAGAGCAGTCTTACCCACACTGAACTTCTCTGCAACATCTTACATTCAATGATCTAGATATGCGTTGAGAATATAAAACTGTCCCAAGAAATGGAATTGCACAGCTACATGTACCAATAGAGATGGCATCTGGTGTGGCATTATAAAGATTTGTGTTTTAATGCTTAAATAGGAAACATAACTCATTGTTTTAAGACAGGACTCTCATTTTAGATCTCAATATAGCTACCATATGTCCCCACACACAAGAAAAGCCTTCTCTCACTGTTATTACTGCAAAAGATCATTGCCAGAAATGGCATGTTGCAAAAGCAAGGTCTGAAAAGAATGGTGTGTGCTTGACAAAATGAATCCCACATCAAATACACTTTCTAGTTCAACTACATATTTGGGAGCTGGAAAAAGGCAACCCAGGGAGGCTGTGGGTTTAAGCGCAGTTTATACAGATGTTCTTCAGGACTGATTCTTTCACGTTTAACACCACGTGAGAGCAAAGAAATAAACTGAGTGACCTCTACAAATCCTTCCCAGGACTGTATTTACATGCTTTCTATCTTTTCTTATTATGCTGGGTTTCAGCATTGTTATTTTTAGTATAATTGTTTTGAGATTTCTCCATCAGATGAGAGAAATCCTCAGGAAAATGATGTGGACAGTGAGAAAGTGGGATCTGATCCTGAACACATATGTTAGATGGGAGGGTTTTGTGTGATATTTTGCAATGATTATTTATTTATTTATTTTGTAGAGGGCAAGCCAAGAAAAGGTGTGACATATCCATCAACTCTTGAATTCTCTTCCTCAAAGAGCACAGCTGTTAAACCTGGCAAGTAATCATGATCAACCTTCCCTTATATCTATGCACAACTATCTGTTGTACCATCTCAATTGTGTAATAAAGAAAATTTAATAATTGAGACTCTGAAGATAATGTACCCCTTACGTTCATCAATGTTACTATTTACAGGCCCCTGTTCCCACCTATTTTCCCCTTTGCTTTAGATCTGTGAGTATGGTGTTGTTCTTGTTCTATCCGAAGTAAGTCTTCTGTGTTAGCTTTCTCTTAATGCTACTTGTGTAATCTCTTGGGACACTTGATGTGGAGAGTACAGTAATACATAATAATATTAACAGTACAGATGGCAGTGCTCAGGAGCTTTAGATAAGAATCATGTGGTAAGGAGTTACTCTAACTTGTCTCACCTGCCTCCCATTCTGTCAGATTGAACTCAGCTTAAATAATATGTGTCAGTAATTCTACATCAAGATATATGTACAAATCCACACCTAGTAGAATGTAAATGCAAAGCAATTGTAAACTAAAGGCTGGGCTTTGACTGATGTACACTCAAGCTGAACAACTACAATGTTTAGATGCCACTGTGCATGTGAGAGTCTCAAAATGAGGAAAGATTTCTGTACTTTCCTTCCAAGGACCAAGGAATAACGTAAAGGAGAAGAGCAGGACTCCAAACAGCAGCCATGCCACCTTGGATGGATGCACCCATTGACAGGCGTTTGAATACATGGGAAAGATGCTCATGTTCTTACATTACTCTTCACAGCAGATAAGCTCATGAAGATTTGAACTCAGCAAATACCAAAAGAGTCACAATAGAGAAGTAAAAGATATATACATTTTTTTCCTCACATTCCTGAGGAAAAGTCTGGAATTTACACAGTTATGAAAAAAAGCACAAACAAATGCCATTTCCATGAAGAAGACACTTCATGTACACTTGAATATCAGCTACCACCTAGTGAGAATCTTGATAAAAAACTTATGAAAGGAATTAAATTATTTAAGCTGAGTAAAAAATCACTCTTTCCTTCTAAGCGAGCCCAGGATTTGGCCCCATGAAGATCTGACAACGTCAAGCAAGAAAGAAGTACATCTGAATGTGAATTAGTGACTGAAATACTACATGCTGGTTGGTATTCACCAGACAGCTTACACACACCAGGACCCTGACTCACATTAATCTTATGAGGATTGGTTTATTAGTGGTAAAACCCCGTGTTTATTGCTCACTTCAGAAATACTGTTGACATTGGCAGGAGCTTTTGGGCAGTTAGATGTCTAAATGAAGCACCGAAAACATGTGGCGACTGCTGTCTAGAGGCATTCATCCATCACTTTTTCTTTCTTAGCAAGGAAGCACTGATTAGACTAACCAAACTTTGTAATGCTAGGTGGTGGGATGCATCCCTTTGGGGACTGATCACCTCTTAATGGAAAACTTTATTTTATTCCAGAGTGCGTTTCTTAATGTGTTTCATTTTGCTTCAGAGCCTAAGAAGCCAGAGCAAGACCTAAAAGTTCCAAAGAGTGCAGCCACACCTGATACATCAGGGAAAGCCTCGGAACAAGGTAGGAGTTGGGAATCTTCATGTCTTTTTCTAAAGAAATTCAATTACATTTTTAATCTCTTGTTTCATTGTCCCCTGGGCTTTCTGCTGTAGCATAAGCTCAGAGGTTCCTTGCTCCATGCAACCAAAGTTACAGAAGCCACTGCTGTACCCACTCCCTGTTACTGCACTACTGTCTTGCACAGGAAATATCCCTTTACCCTCTCTCCTCCTTTTCTTAGTGCAGCAGCATGGAGCAGGGTACCGCTCAGCCCAAAGAGAGACATTCACACTGGTTTTTCAGCTGAGTTGTTGTGTTTTTCTTCTGAGCTTGCTTTCAGCATCATCCCATTAAAACTGACAGAAATCTGAGTTTTTCTCTGGCTGGCATTTGGTAGTAATTAATCTACCAGACAGTTTCATGGTGATGCTTTCCAACAGGGAAACATCCAGCAGTAAAATGCAAGCTCGTACTGTGCTGCAATGAAAAGTCTGCATGAAGGCACACCACTTCATTTCAGTGAACACAGTCTGTCAGGCCATCCCTGGGGACACAGGCAGGGAGGAAAGGAGCAGGGATGAGATGAACATGGAATATATTTGAGGGTGACTTTAATAGATAGGTGATAGGTAAAAGATGAAGACTCTTCTAATACGCTAACTGGAAAGGACTAGAAGCACACTAAAAATTTTGCATAAGACTATTTAGGATGCACATTTTTGCAACTAGAATTGTCTCTATTCTCATGACAGATCATTTTAAAAGCGGTAGCAAATGTCAGCTGAGTCAAAGCGAGCTGAAATGGTCATCCCTGAGTGCTGCTCTCACCACAACTCTAAGACAAAGCCCTCCTGGCTCCTGCTCCACCCCTGTCCTGAATCCCTGAAACCCGTCCTTCTGGCAGTAACACTTCGGTGGTGGTAGGCAATGCCTACTTCATTCTGGTCTACGACTCAGAATTGCCATCTTTTATTCCAGATGTCTGTTGATTTCTATTTATACGGATTTTCAAAGAGTTCTATTATATTGAGAAAAGATGACAGCAAAACAATGGATGTAGCAGAGTGACCATATCAATGTTCCTACAGGGGACACGGTCCACAAGGTGTATCAGACATCACCGGAACCAATGCCAACCACACAAATGGCAGCCACAACACCAACCCCAACGACCACAACCACAGATCCTTTCAGCACAACACCAAAGGCAACCACACCTGCAACAACAAGAATCACAATAGACTCAGCTGCAGCCAAGCCTCGACCTGGATTGCACAGGGTCAGGGATACAGGTCAGTAGTACAGATGTTTTCATTGCTTTCCTCCTGACTAACAGTTCTCCTAAAATTAAAGGAACAAGACACTCAGTTGAATATGCCATTATTTAGTAGATCATTGGTACAGCCATTCAACATAGGCATATTATGAGTGGATAAAGAAATTAATTCCCAGCCATCTGCTGGAGTTGTAGTATATCTCTGAGACACACATGGAAGTGTTTGTCTCACATCAACTCAATGTGGTTAGATTCCCCAAAATAAGTGCTCAACTTCAGTAAGCAGAGCAATTACGGCTAGTCATTATCTTTAGCATCTATACTGATTCTTGTGGGAAGAACTTTTCCATCTATAAACACTGTCATGATTATCAGGTATAGTAGTCAACTGTTTCTTTGATTCATATGTCTGGACTGAATGTTCAGCAAATAGGTTAAGATTCAGTTTAGATTTAACTCTGTGATAACTTCCAATAAATGAAAGTTGTAATACATGGTTTTCTAATAGCTCTTGGATTTTAAGGATGAAAACAACGTGAAGGAATCCCTCCTGTATAGTTTTTTTCACACACCTGGTTTTCCCTAATCTTTTCTTCTCTTCATTTATTTTTATTCATACATATTGGTGTCTTTTTGAATGGTTCAGCAGACGAAAATCAAAATCTCTTATTTTTAGGTTCTAGCAGCGTCCACCCTGCATATTCCTCTGTGGCAGCTGCAGCATCAAGTAAGTACACTAAGGAAGTATGTGCCACAAGGCATACAGTGTGGTGTGTTTTAAGGCAGCAATGATTCAGTAACCTTTCAAGCCTCAGCAAATGCAGTGGTTGAATACAAGTCTGTATTTAAACTGAAAAATATATGCTAGGCCTGATACGTCAGAGATGTTGATCACTGAGAGTTCTGGGGAATCCCTTCTAGCGAATAACTGCAAGTGACAATACCTGCCTTGACAAACGCTGGATTTTGCAACTCTTGAGAAGTCTGTGCTGCTACAGTCAGATTTTCCTGTAGCATCCTCCTGTCTTACTCTCTTAAAGGAAAATTTGATTTACTTGTAAGATACATAGTACAGACAGCTGAATTGCTATTTAAACTTAGGGCTGAGAGCTCTGAAATGCCAACTTTAGTTTTTTCTGAAAACCTCAGGCTGTGGTTCCAAGCCTGGCATAAATGTGATGTTATTCCTGGCATATCACTTGTGTTTTTGACAACAGAATTGTGGCCATTCAGAGCTCTACAGCTTCATCCAGAAGCCTGCCTCCATTCTAGCCCACAGGCTGCAATGCAAATACATAGAAGAGTTTTCTCATTCAATGGGTAATTGCTCAGTTGAGGATGGGAGAATATTTTCAGCTATTTGCAAGTTTCTGAGCATGACACTATTTTGAGGGTTATATAAAAGAGAGCTGGAAGATTTCATACTATTGCTATTTATGAGTGCCTTGAGCTTGGTTCTACTCTCACACATGTAAATGTGGCTGTACCTACAGCTGAGTAATTCAAAACCAGAATACATAGCAAGCATCTTCTGGTTAATTCAGGTCTTGAAGGAAAGCATCATTAAGTCAAATTCAACTGTGAGCCCAGAAGTCTCCTACCTTGCTACTCCTACCTAAGAAGCCTGCCCACACCAAAAGGGCACCATGAGCATCCTCATTCATCAATTCCACATACTAGGAATAAATGACCTTACACACCCAACAGAGCCCGTGCCTACCCTGCTCTGGGATAAGGGCAGGAGCTGGGAAGTTAATAAGTCAAATGTGCAGGTATGTGCATGGCACTATGTACAGAAGTGCAAGCATAATTTCAAGCAGTTTAATTTCAGTGGAATCTGAATCATTTTGTATCTAATATGCCTGTAAACCTGATCCTGCTTGTTTCTCTCTTCTCTGTTTCACGGTCCCATCAGCTGGCAGAAAAGAGGCGATTACTTTCTTCACTGACAATTAGGAAAACCTTTTTGAGGTTCCCCAGGCAGTAAGAGGAGCATATTGAGAGTGAACTTTTGACAGCACTGAAGTCAGTGGGAAGGCTACGTTTATCTTAAATAAGACCAAACTTTGAGCCAGAAAGCAGAAAGATTAAAAGTAATTCTAAAAAAATTACTCACTATTTTAAGTATTTCTTCATTGCAGTGTAGTTCTGCTTCTCCACAATTTTCTTCACTGGACTTCTACTAGATATAAATTAACTGCCAGAAGATTAAAGGAATGAGATTTAGGGACAGGTTCCTGTGAGCTGGAGAAATGGAGGAGACATACATTTGTATAAACAATGAATGTACAGATGTTTATAGTTATGAAATATACCAGAGAGTTCAGCTATGTAGTTATCATACCAAAACAGAATAGATAAAATACTTACCCACATCCTGGGCTCACTATGAAACTCCAGGGGAGTGAATCTCCAGAAGAGATCCTTCCCCACTGTAGTCAGCTTTTAAATGGGTCTAGGAGAAGTGGAGCCAGGCTCCATCCCTTCCAGCAGCACGGGTGAATTGCCTTCACCTGTGTTCCTGTGGCTGACTCATTGCTCATCTCAGGTGATCAATCAGAGGTTCAGGCTGTGATTCAGCAGTTCCCATACAACATCTGATTTCACAGACTCGATTTTTAGGACTACTCAGTATCCATCTTCTTGAATTTTCCTGATTTGTTCATGATTCTGAAGGAGAAGATCTGGATTTAAAAAAAAAAAAAAAGAAAGAAAGAAAGGAGGGAAGAAAACAAAGTTACAACCACATACAAAGTAGTTAATGAGCTTTTTCTATCTGAGGAGCCTTTATAACTCACTCATATTATTCAGGCTGGAGTTTCTAATGATGCTTTTGGTTCTGCACTCTGCCCTGCTCAGTTCAGCCTCACCTCTTTTCTTTTCAGCCAGTGACCTTGAGCTGGGTGCTGCCTACCACAACCTTTCACCCTCAGCTGTGACTTACCACAGTAGCAAGAAAAGAAAATAGGAAAGGACTGGACACACAGCTAGAAGCCTACAAAGTTTAAAAGCCTAGCAGGGGAGCCTGTTATTTCCCAAAAAAGGATCTCTTTGCCTTTTAAATTTTCATAGTCTCTCAGGACAGCTCACATAAATCCCATCAAAGGGCTTCCAGTACTCTGTGAATGTTCAAATTTGGGTAATGCATGCATTATTTGCTGTCACTTAATTTTGTTATAGGAAGCCTGCAAGTAGCAGCAGTTCCTGTTTTCTTAGACAACCATTACAAATGATCTCATTTATGATATCTTATTGAGAAATAACTCATGGGACCATTGTTCTCAGAAGTCAGCTAAAACATTCCTACTAATTTCAGCAGGCCTTGGAATGTTAACAAGCTTCTGAAGAGCAATTAATGAAAAGAAAAGCATGATTGAAGACAATCTTCATCTGCAAGTGCTTTGAGAATTCTGTATTTTTGAACAGTGGGAGTTTAATGTATTAACACAATCACATTAAAAAAGCATTTTGTGTAGACAGCAATGAAGACATTTCAGACACATTAATTCTCCTACATTGTTTTTGTTATTGTTTCATTATTTACAGTCTGCCTGCTTGCTTGTATCTACTCACTGGCTCTTGTCTCAGATAGTAAGCTCTGTGCAGGAAGTGTGGTATCTGGTCTGGGTTTTGTTTTGGTTTCTTTCTAACATTCTTCACACAACTAGATAGCATTGAAATAGAAATAAGAACAGATAATGAGCTTGAGCAATTGAGAAACAAAACTTATTAAGGAAAGCAAATCAGAACAGTAACTAAAAACAACTTAAGTGCAAAGCAGAAATGATTAAAATCATACTCATAACTGAAGTGAATGTTAACTAATCTAACTAGGCTGAACAAGGCAGTTTTTCTTTAAGCTGACTTAAAATGTAGTTTTAACATCTGAAAATGGATATCAGTGAAAGCTCTCTGTCTGTGAGCAACTAACTCTCATAGCAATAAAATAAGATTCAGGTAGCAGTAGTTCTGCACCAAACATGGAGTACAACTGACACTTCTTCATTTTGATGTCTACTCAGGACAAGTTCAGGCTTCACAAGGAAGAGGACTGAATACAGGTATGTATTGAACCAACTAGCTGGATCTTTATTGCTAGAATGCTATAAAACATTGTCTTTCAGTTCTATTTGCTAACCAATGCAATATTTTCAAAGCATTCAGGGGCACTTCCACATCTGCAAGTAACAGGAATATGTTGCGACCCAATGCAGGTAATGCAGGTAATCAATCACTTTTCTTATTTCTCCCCATCACTCACCTCTAAAAAGCACATATTACTGTAGTTATTGCACAGCAATAGCATAACTTCTAGAAACAACAAATAGAAAGGAATGATTAAACTTAGAATTGTTCTCAGAACAATATCCTAAACCTATTTATATAGGTACTTTATAATACTCACTAATGCAAAATGTCAGGAGAACTTGTGTCTTGGGGTCCATAGGTCTAACTTCAAGAGGAATCATAGAATCACTGACGACTTGGGTTGGAATAGATCTTAATACCTACCCAGCTCCAACCTCCTGCTGTGGGCAGGGCTGCCTCCCACCAGCTCAGGCTGCCCAGGGCCTCATCCAACCTGCCCTTAATTGCCTCCAGGGATGGGGCACCACAGCTTCTCTGGCAGCCTGACGATTTCTTTCACTTTCCACCTCCTGAGCATGGTCAGCATCTCAGGACCCGCTGCTTGTTGCTCCAGTGCACTAGAGAACTACAGTATCTACTAACATTTAGACTCCTTTCTTCTGCTTTTGCCACTCTCCCTAAGCTTGTAAATTCTTCCTTTTTTTTTTTTTTTTTCTTGTTTTTTTGGTTTTTTTTTTTTGGGGGTTTTTTTTTTTTTTTTTTTTTTTTTTTTTTTTTTTTTTTTTTCTTTTTTTTTTTTTTTTTTTTTTTTTTTCTTTTTTCTTTTTTCTTTTTTCTTTTTTCTTTTTTCTTTCATGCTTGTCTATCCTGGCCAGATGGCATCTAACCTCCATCTCTCTCTCACACTGTGCAGGTATTCAGCGCCAAGAGCCTGTTGCCACCATCCGCAGGCCTGCCGGGTCTCCAGCCCATCTGGGTGAGCCAGACTGCTAAGAGCAGTCTGCCTTCTTTCTGCCTTCTTTCATGATTTTAGTAAACCTAAATTAACCCATATGCTGGTCTGCAGACTAATTCTCTGTGTACTGAAGGGCCAGCCAGCAGCTTCCAGAATGAGGAGTCAGTGGACAGATTGGACACTAGTGAGCTGTTGTTTCAGGCTGCAGGAATCAATTTCTACCACAGTGTTTATAATTTACCTTATTTGTTAGTCAAAATGAGGAACAAAACCTCAGCCCCGTGCAGCCTATCTGGTCTATGGTAGAGATAAATTTTCTGCTGTTCCTGTCATTCTCAGGAACCTCCAGACTGATTGCAACACAGGGATTGTCTGAACAATGATTAGTTGTCTTAAACATCTTTGATGCATTTCTTCTTTCCCAGCTGTGCAATTCACCATCCACTTCATCAGCAAACAGTCCTTTCAGTGGCACTCTGGAAGGCTGCTGGCAACTTCAGGTGGCTCCAGAGCACTCAGGGGTGCTCTATTCTGTTTCTTTGTTTTAACATTATTCCTGTTTATTTCAGTCCATTTCTGTTCCTTCATTTCTGTCCATGTTTGTCTTTCTCATGTTCTTTTGGCCATACCAAAATCACAGCCTTTTCTTTTTTTTTTTTTAATCTCATAATTGTTAAATTGTTATCTTCTCTCAATCCTCTATGCCATGTCAAAACCCAGTGCCCATCATCACAAGGGAAACAGGTGGGCAATATGTACAATATGTACCCATGCAGAACAGCAGAGCAAACACGTTGCCTGTAAAAGTGCCTAACAAAGCAGTGCACGAATTATATTACACTGTGTACAGGAGGGAGAACCTGGTATGGCAGGGAAATGGGAAGAGCCCTGTGATGTGCTGACTAAGCCTCAGTCTGTCCAAATCTTTGCCAGAGGAGCAGGGGAATGCTGTGCTGAATCTTGTTTAAATCAATCACAGTTTGTTCCCACCTTACATATCTGAAGACTTCCCAAGATGACTGCAAAGCACAATTATTCCATAATGAACAACTGTTTTCACAGCCACAGAGCAAGAGGAAAAAATCCCACAAACATATACTTGTATTCCCTACAAGCCCTGATCTTTTCTCAGCCTGGGTCCTGGCAGCTCAGATGAGCTGCTTCCAAGCAGCCAATTTTTCTCACGGTCAAAGGGAAATTCCTGGACAACTCCTTGCTTTCTTGGAAAGGAGAGCTGTTTTTCTTGATCCTGCAAAGCGAGTGCACACTGCTCAGCAAACAACAGCTATTGAGCTGTGCTGTCAAGGAGCTTCTCTATTCAGCTCAGGTTAGCAAAAAGATTTGCTTGGAAAACACCCATCCTGAAACACCATTTGTTTGCTTGGCTTCTCCCTGCCTGCTCTCAAGAAGGCCCCAGCTCCTCCAACCTCTTGACAATTACAGATCTTTTTACATTGTTTTAAATATCAGTCTTGTAGTATTTTAAAAATCAACCTTGATTTTTGTGGGCATTATCAAGCAAAAAAAAGAAAAACCTTAGCTATTTAAAAGAATACTCTTTTTCCTTTCAAAGGAACATTTAACTGAGAGCTTGCTCTGTGATGTGTCTAGGACTACATCCAAGCATAGAGCTTTTGCCTGGATTCATGAATCACACAGATTTAGTGCATTCTTCATCTCTGCAGCCAGATACCCAAATCCTTGGCACTTGTGCTTGTCTTCATTCAGGTCTTCTCACTACAGAAAGTTTTCAAAGGACATGAGCCGTGGGAAGACTGCTCGGAGAAGCCCTACACAGCTCCTCCTCATTACCCATACACAGCAATTTGGAAGGACCCACAGTTATCTGAGTCAGTTGTTCTAGAGAAGAGTAAATCTAGAAAGTCCACCATTACTCCTACTGACAAAAAAACAGTCTTTTCCTGGAGTTACTGAAAAACATGACTTTTCTGAGGTTATATAGTCAGATAAGCTAGAGGAGTCCGCACTGCAGTCACGCTGAGGTGGTAATCTCACAGAAAGGTCAGTGTTTCATTGGCTAGAGGACATTGGTAAACCCACAGTTCCCTTTTCTTTTTTCCAGACCAATATATGCTTCACCCATTGGCTGTAATCTGGAGGATGCCAGCCACCAGTCTAGTTGGGGAAGCATTACTTTTTGGAGTAGTACTTCTGGAGGCTCCAAAAACAGACAGCTGGGGTCATATTTATGAAAGCATCAATTTGGAGTTTTTACATGCCTGATAGGCTGCAAATAAGATTTAGACACCTCCTTTGTCTTTGCAGGTTCAAGCTATACAGAAATCAGTAGACTGCAGATTTCCAGTGGGAAACAATCTAGGGAAAGCAAAAGTATACTGAAGTTGGTATAATTGTCTCAGTGTCAGCTCAGTTCTAAGGAACATAACCAAAGCAGATCTAAAGAGGCATACTGAAACATAAAACAGATGAGAGCTCTGGAGCCAGTGACATGAGCCTGCTAAATGTGGCTTGAAATGTGTCTGTAAAGGTTTCCAAGTTTTCTGATTTCCTTAGGTCCTTCTCATGAATAGTGATTCACTATATAAATTGGCTTTTCTAAACTGAGCTTTTTAATCTCCATGATTCCATTATTTTCAGTAATACTTCGTCTTTTCTTTCATGTATGAAAGCAATGGAAACAGACTTGTGGAAACCTGGACTGAGCTTTTTTGACACAGGTAAATATTTAAAGCATTTGGTAACCAGACTGGGAATTATTGTTTTCCATTGCGTGTGGGGAAAGCTCACACTATTCATCAGGCCCATGGCATTGCTGATAACAATCTCATTCTAAGAAGTAATTATGGTATTTAAGATGACAAATGAGGTACGTCGTTTACATCTTAGTAGTTAAAATTATTTTGAGCCTTCATCATTCTCAAGTTCCTGCCAAAAGTGAGAGCAGAACAGATGAGCTCTGCAAAGAATTGGCAGTTGTACTGCAGGAAAGAGGTTCTAGCTACTGAAATTCACTTGTAAATAAGAAGGTATTTTGGGAATGCCACCGCTGGCGCTGGGAAAGCAGTCTAGAAATGCCATCAAAGAAAAAGATGGCAGATTATTCTGATGCAAATGTACTTAAGAAGGAAGGGCATTCAGATGAGAATGGTGGATTAAAAAATAGTGGGCATTACTGAAATTTTCTAATGTTCTAGCCTTTAAAAGTCAGAAGACAGCATTTTTAGAAGTACCGGTGAGTGAGAAAAAAAGCTTTACATTTGTAGCAGGCTTAAGAGGCAGAAGATCAAGACTTGAGAAATTCTTAGCCAGGTGCAGTTTGCAAGTGCACATCCCACACATTCAGTATTTAAGGGATCTCTTTCCTTAAGAACATTTAAAGTAGACTATGCAAAGTCTACTATGCAAAGTCCATGCAAAGATATGGCAGTTCATCACAGCGTACTCTTACTAGGAGCTGGACTATCCAGTATAAGGTGTCTTTTCCATTACCAGTTTTGCTGCTGGAGAGAGCTGTGCCATGTTGGTGGCCCTTGCAAAGACCATCCCCCACACACCCAAAGCCGAGGTGTGACTAATCCTCCCACTGGCTGCTACCAGCAGTGTTGCCTATTTGCATTAGTTTGCAAATCCCGTGGCAGTGGCTCTTCAGTCAAAATTTGCATAATCTCAAACGTGAACAGATTTCCCTTCTCCAGGGGTGGCACTCAGAGCCATAGAGTGAGCATGTTTCTATCCAGCCTTCAGTGGGTTTAATTAGAAAAAGCTGCAGCGCAGTGTACAGGGCCAGTGGTGCAGAGGGGCACCCTGAGACACCAAATGACAAATTGCATTGAATGCAATGAAAAGCTGAGTGTGGGAGAAGGGATGTTGTATCAACAGTTTCTCAGAATCTGAAGCGTCCGTGTGATAAAGTCTGATGAATTCAGATTGTCATTTCAAAGGAATGGTTCCTGGTGTGCATGCAGTCACTGCTGTCTTGCTGAAATGAATGGGGAGTTTAATCAGCATAGACAGCTGTGACAATCAGTGAAGAGAACTTTAATTAGCATGGAGTAGGCTACCCATGCAGTGAGTTCAAATTCCCATGGCACTAACAACCTTAAAATAGACTGGCAGAATCCACAGATTCTGACCACCTCCCCAATTAGTGGGGAAGGTTATTTGGTGGGCGACCTTATTGTTACAGTGAGCACAAAGCAGCTTGCTGACCCATAGCCTCTCAGAACAGCTGGTGGCACCAGCAGCCAGAATGAGGAGTGCCATGGTGCTCAGATGCACCGTGCTGACAGAGCTCATGGCAGCTTTAGGTATGGACTGCAGATTTTATTGAGCACAGACACACATGTGAGGGAAATAGCTGTGAATTAACTTCCCCATAAAGTTTGTCTGCTAAAATGAGAGGCATGTGTTAGTATCTAACCTCACAACAGCCTTTAATCCATCTGTTTCATGACCTGCAATAAGGTAAGCAGGAATGCAGTATGTATGTGGTGCCAAGCACTACGTGTTGGAACGTAGTGCTGCAAGGTGGAATGTGGCTTTGGTCTGCTACTGAGGGAAATTACACACCTGTGATTAAAGGCGATACTGGAGTACACACAGTCATAAGGACAAGTTACTGAGTATTTCAGGTTTTAAAGAAAAAAAATGAACATAAATGAAATGGGGCTAAACTTAGTGCCCTTTTCCTACCTCGTTCATATGGGAACACCCAATGTCCTTCACAGGGCCAGGCACAGTGCCCAGCCAACACAGCGTCCTACCCAGTGACAGATGCCGGGGGTGAGAAAGGCAGAGGGCAGTCACATAGGAATGGAACTGGCAGGGCTGGCTGATCCCTGCCGCAGAAGGTATCTCCCTCACTGGCAGCTGAATTTAGAAGTGAGATGCCAAAGCAAGACTTCTGCCCAGTAATGTCCCAGCAGCACGCTATAGCTACGCACAGGGGATCAGGTGTCAGATCTGACACCAGTTTGAGGACACAGCCTCAACAAAACCTCCTCTCCTGACCCAAAACTGCACACAGCTTCATCGTGCAGGGGAAACAGCTCCAAGCAGTTGTATTCTTGTGTTCATTCCCACGAGAGGTGAGTTGGTAGATGTAAATAGAGTGGAAGGTAGACTGGTGGGAGTTGGAATTTCCTGTTTTCTTGAATATTTTCTGCACTGTTATGGCTCAGTCATTAATAACTCTGGCAGCCAGCTCAAGTGGTGCACAAGCTCAGAGCTGTTGCAGCTGCCATCAGATTCTGGTAATGCTCTTTGCTGATGTCCCTTGGCCACCCACTTTACACATGCAGTGCTCACATACGGGGGCTGCTGGCTGCCCTGGCAATGGAGATGGTTGAGGTGAGTTGCCAGGACTTGCTACCCACCCTCACTTCCCTCTCACATTTAGCATCTTCAGACTGCAGGTGCTCAGCAGCAGCCCAGGGGCTCCCTCCAGGCACCCCTGCAGACACCCAGAGCTGGGGCAGACCAGCACACCTCAACAGAGCCTCTCCTCTCCTCCGTTTCTCCAGGTTTTGCTTCAAAGGAGGAACTGAACCTGAAGCCACTGGAGACAACCTCCCAGGGGAACCCAAGTATGTACATCGGAATTAATGTCATAATTACATGGTACCATTTTATTAATTACCTGCTACTAGAAGGGATTCAAATTAAATAGCAACTACGACTTTTTAAAGAAAACTTTAGATACTTAAGGAATACATTTTCATCTGCAGAGGATCAGCAAGTGCTCTCTGCCAGTCCCTCTGACAGATACAGTTGGTTTTGCTTTTCCAAGAAAGGCATTTCAAGATGTAGCTTACCTGGGTGTCAGGACGATGGCTGCTCGCTGCTCCTGTTCAGGGTGAGCTCAGCTCCACGCTCTGGGCACACACAGCTCCTCTCAAGGCGTTGCGATGGTGCAGGACAACAAAGCAATGAGCTGCAGCCAGGGATGGGCAAGCAAACCCTGATGACCGCACACACTCCTGTGGCCACACAGGCGCTCTTTCTGATGCGGAGGGCGGGAGGGAAAGAAACCGCCTGAGAAATGGACGCAGTCAGGAGAGAGGTTCTGTGCCCCGGCTGGGGTGCTGAAGGAGCATTGAGGAGCCCTCCATCTGGGGATGGAGATGTCACATGCTCTGAAAAGCAAGCCTCGCAAAGTCCTTTGTAATTAAAGACAGGTTTGCCCATTAACTCATCTTGAAATGAGGCCCAGACAAGAAGGAGGAAGGGAAAGCAAACCACAAATGCAGAGATGGGATCATCCACCTCTTCAAGGGAATCCTCCCTGGCAGAGGGGCTCACCTCCTGCTGACCCCAGGGCCTCCTGTGTCCTTCCTCCCACAGCTGAGTGCTCACTTTTGTCTCAAGTCCTCTTTACCTTAAATGCTGAACCAAGCATTCCTATATCCTCAGTTGCTCCTCCTAAAAATCTTAATATGTTCTGTCTCATCAAAAAACGTCAAATACACCTTATAGAAGTAACAGGGAGGAGAAGAAAAGGAGAAGGATGTCCTTGGAGATTCAAACTCACTGTAGGAAAGCAGAGCTCAGTACAGCTCCCTACAGAGCACATGTAAGCAGAGTTCTGCTGCTGATCAAGTGCAGGAACACTTCTACCATTCAAATGCAGTGAATTAAGTTGGAGCAGGCATGTAAATCTCAGATCCCGTTAGCTAAGAAACTTCCACTATGCATGTGGACATCCCATGAGGTATTTCCCTTTTAAGGCCAGGAGATTCAGGAAAATTTGCCCCTAATTAAGGTATTATTTGTTTTGGGTTCCCAGCCTTGCCTCACTCTCTGCTGTGAAAGAACATGCTTTTCGGTCACGCTTCTCTAATTCAGCATTATTAGAATTAAAAAAACAGACAGCTACGGGAGAAAGAATTGAAAGTAATGAGATGGGAGACAGTTGCATAAGCCAGTAAGAACAATTGGCACTTTGTCGCCTTCAGGCTATCTAATGATTAAAACACATGATTTTGGACAGTCTGATTGGTAGGAGACATCATCGGAGACAAATCAAGAGATACAGACAGCAGGAGAAAACAGTAGCGCTCCAGTGAAGCCAAATTTTGCTCCACTCCTAGTCACGGTTCAACTGACAAATGTTTCACCACTAACGTGAGGAGAAGTAGAGGCAGGCTGGTAGGGACCACACTTAGCACATGCAGAAGCACAAAGATCAGGTTCATCTGAGTAACTAGCAGGAAGAGTTTGAGTACAGACACAGCTTTTATCTGAGTCAGGCAACACCAAAATTGTGCTGCTGTACACACACAGGCGAAACCCACAGCTGCTTTGGGAACAACTGAAGCTCAGGTCAAACACGGAGTGGGAGCTGCTGTCACCACCTCACCAGCAGGCACAGCACAGGGGCAATGACAGCCACCTCCTGCCCCACACACTGGCTGCCCACACGTGCCCAGGGACACCTCAGGGTGGCCGTTGACAAAACAGGCTCAGGCCAGCCACTACGTCACCATCAAAAGCATTTTAGTAGAGCTTGTGCAGCAGGAAGAGTCACCAGGTGCAGAGTTTTTAGGCCTTTGCTCTTCAAAAGAAGCACTACTACTAAAAGGACCAAAACCATTTTCCCTGCTTTGTGTCTCTCCTTAGGCTGCAAGGTGGATTTATCCTTCTTGATGGATGGGAGCTGGAGCATTGGTAAACGCCGCTTCCAGCTCCAAAAGCAGTTCCTCATTAACGTGGCTCATGCCCTCGGCATCAACAATGCTGGGCCTCTGATGGGCATCGTGCAGTACGGGTAAGGGCCACTTCTGCACCCAGGCTACAAACCTAGCTCTGTTTCATTATTGCTGTAAATGAGAATTGTAATATTTAGAAATAGTTGTTACTGAAACACCCTCTAGAACTCCACTAGTGTGGCCTCATTGATAATTTATCTTTTCATCCATATTCACAGCATGGGACTTCTTTTTGTTATTACTGTTGGTGCTTCCATGCTGTGACCTCCACCTGTGGTTACGCTGTGCAGGAGCTGCTGGAGCAGCACTCCTCTCTCCCAGGGAACCCCAGAGGATAATGGGCACAGGCATATCAAAGAACAGTGTCAACCTGCCTTCACAACCTGTTACAGTCTTTGCTTTGAGAAGGTCTCTTACCCCTGCTTGCCACCTTCTCCTTTTTCTGTCAGTCTGTGGGAGCAGTCAGGCATTTAGCACACTTGCTAGAGACAAGCCACTCCCATCACCATCGATATACATCTGGCTGGAGCATGCTAAAGCTTGCCAGAGGAAATTCAGGATGGATATTAGGAAGAATTTCTTCTCAGAAAGTAGTGAGGCAGTGGCACAGGCTGCCCAGGGAGGTGGTGGAGTCACCATCTCTGGAGTTGTTCAGGAACTGTGTGGATGTGGCACTGAGGGGCATGGTTAGTAAGCATGGTGGGTATGAGTGGTTGTTTGGACTAGATAATCTTGCAGGTTGGAAACAACCTTAATAATTCTACATTTCCTGCTCACACCCAGGAGCAAAATAGGACAGAAAGCTCTTACAGCTTTTGTACTGCTATATGTAAGGCAAAAAACCTGACAACTGCTTCATGTTTCTTTCCATCTGCCAGTGATGACCCTTCCACAGAATTTAACCTGAAAACATACACCAGCCCCAAGGACCTAAGAAACGCCATTGAGAAAATCCCTCAGAAAGGTGGACTTTCCAATGTTGGTAGGTTACGGGCTGCATGCACACCCTCAGCATGGGTAGGGCTCCAGAGCCTGGAGTGCTGCCAGCCCCGTAACTTATCCTCAATCTCCTCTTTCATTTCAGGAAAGGCACTTTCATTTGTCAACAAAAACTTCTTCTCGGATGCTAATGGAAACAGAGGTGGAGCGCCCAATGTGGTGGTGGTAATGGTGGATGGGTGGCCAACCGACAGGGTGGAGGAGGCCTCCAGGCTGGCCAGGGAATCAGGGATCAACATTTTCTTTGTCACTATTGAAGCAGCTGCTCAAAATGAGAAGCAAAATGTTATTGAGCCAAACTTTGTGGACAAGGTACTTACTGGGATGGGCTCTGGCTGTAAACACTTGCCTTAGACTCCACCTTTTTCAAGTGATTTTGCACAGGGGCTTAAGCACAGTCACACTTACGAGACATTTCCCTTCCTTCTTACTACTCATGGTTACTTCTGGTCCTGCTTAGACTGTTAGGCAGTGCTGAAGTTAGAAAGGTGACCTGTCTGAAAGCTGCTAAGAACAAACTTTGGCTCACAGTAAAGCTCTGGTCTGAGGTTCATCATGAAGCAAATGGCTCTTTGCTGACCAAGCGTTGGCACAAACCTGCAGACAAGATTTTCTGAATGTAAAGCAGCATGACAAAGCACAAAAAAAAAAAAAAAAAAGGGGAAAAAAAAAAGAGAATGCAAGCCTTGCACTATAACATTTGGCACTGCTCAGTAGTGTCTCAGAGCAAGGTGACACAAGGTTATGGCAGGAGACATCTACTAAGTTCCAGACTCACTTGAGCTCAGGAAGCATGGCAGAGTTATCTGCTATTTTCAGAGAACAGATTCCTGCCTGAGCCACACTGCTCTGCCATGAAATAATTTCCATTAGTTTCAAGGCTGTTTCAGAACTCCGTTGTTTCTGGTCAGTGTTTAATTGGATTATACCTGATTTGCATTTATTTTTCAAAACGGCAAAGCTACAGTGAGTCTGTGTGAGCCTGCCAGAGAGCACAAGTGGGAGAATGCTCCCTGCTTCGTGCCACCCCTTGGTTTCTACCTACATTCACCCAAATCCCCCTGATCCTCTAACAGCTTCCTGCAGATCTGCTCCCTATCAAGTATTTGGTGATAAAAACAGACATCAACATGGTTTTTGTCTGTCTGTCCTTAATTATCTGGCAGAGCCAGAACAACTGAGAAAGGCTTTTACACTTTTATCAACATTTCTTGTTCTTTTTTTTTTTCTGATTGTACAGCCAGGGAGAAACCAGCTTCGGCCTGAGGTTTCAGTTCAAGGCAGGAGGGTTTATCAGCAGGGAAATCCATCCTTGTTGCCCTAACCCTGGGAGGGAGGGAGCTGAAGTTGTCATCTGGCAAATGTTGGGGCTTCCAGGTGGAGCCACACAAACAGCGTCTCTGTGATTTGGATGCCTTCTCTACAAACAGTGTAACTTATCTCAAAAAGCTAGACAGGTGGCAAACCTGGTTATTACACTTCTTTCATGGCTATAATATCAGCTCCATCCCAAAGCTTTAAAAAAGGGGAATAGAAGAGACAAGTATCTATAGAGAAGTATCTGTGATGTTATATTCACGACATTTCCCAGGGAACCAGATGGCAGCTAGAGGAGAGCCCACTCCACACTCCAGCATTGCTCTTTCCAAGAGCCTAAATTTACAGTTTAGCTAAAATCCCAGTTGAAACAAGCAGACTGAATTTCCACTGCATTCATACTTGCGGTGTTTTGCAGGCAGTGTGCAGAACAAATGGCTTCTACTCCATCATGGTGCCCAGCTGGTTCAGCCTCCACAAGGTCGTCCAGCCCTTGGTGAAGCGGGTCTGTGATATCGACCGGCTGGTTTGCAGCAAGACGTGTCTTAATTCAGCCGACATCGGTTTTGTGATCGATGGCTCCAGCAGCGTTGGCACCGGCAACTTCCGCACAGTCCTCCAGTTTGTAGCCAACATCAGCAAGGAATTTGAGATTTCGGACACGGACACGCGTATTGGAGCCATTCAGTACACGTATGAGCAAAGACTCGAGTTCAGCTTTGATAAATACAGCACAAAGCAGGATGTGCTGAGTGCTATCAAAAGGATCAACTACTGGAGTGGTGGAACCAGCACAGGGGCAGCCATCAGCTACGCCTCTGAGCAGCTCTTCACCAAATCCAAACCCAACAAGAGGAAGATCATGATTCTCATTACGGATGGCAGGTCTTACGATGATGTCCGAATGCCAGCCCTTACAGCTCACCAAAACGGTAAGTTCTACCATCATTATCTGCTCCTCCATACCTCCACGTTTATTTGGGTCAGAGAAATACATTCTGCTGTGATGCACAGGCATTGGATGAAACCTTAGGAAGGAAACATAGCATCCACTCGGGGGTTTCATCAAGTGCTAAGCAAGATCAGCATCTGAATAAGGAACTTTCTGAAAGTAACACAGAACTAGAAAGATGCAGCTAGACCTAAGAGATTGCAGAGGATTTCTACTGTCTCGATAACATTTGAAGGGAGCTTGGGCAGTTCCACAGCAGACACCAGGCATTTCTTCCATTTTGACAATGCCACCTTTTTTCTTTTTTTTTTTTTTAATTTTATTAATTAAAAACTGCAATTCACTGCCAATTTTTTCATGGCCTAGTAGTTATGTCTGCAGTATTGGTCTTAACCAATCAAATGTAATGTAATTAAAACTTTTATGCTCACCCTTATCTCTTGGGTTTCTTTCCAGGAGTTATAGCTTACTCCATTGGAGTTGCTTGGGCTGCTGAAGATGAACTGGAAGCCATTGCAACAGATCCAGATAAGGAGCACTCCTTCTTTGTGGATGAATTTGACAACCTCTACCAATTTGTTAATCCTCTCATCCAAAACATTTGCACAGAGTTTAACTCACAGCCACGGAACTGATGGAATGGAACAGGCCAGGATCCTTGGGCATCATGCTGAAAACACACAATGCTACAGGAACAATGCCAGCTCTGAGCTCAACAAATACTGGAATTATTTTTCTTTGGCACTTTCCAGTTAATGAGGTCGATTGCATCTCTGTCCTTATGTACAATAATGCTCTGTGTAGGCTACTGATTTTTCCCCTGCAGGCTTCAGAAACTCTGATTTGGATGGAATAGAATAACAAGCAGGAGACATCAAGGAGGGAGTAAATGGAGCTGTTTGGAAAGCTAACAGTATAGAGCCTCAGCTTAGGTGATTCCCATCTCAGGGTATGCACAAGAACTAAAATGTACCACCTGCTTCCAGCAGTGCCCAGGACCCCCCCACAGAGCTGTTACACTGCTCTGCTGCTGTGGTAGAAGCACCTCCCTCTGACACTGTCCATTGCTCACAATCCAGGATAGGACTGACATCCTGAAATCCCAGGCACATACTGGGAAGATAGTGTGAATTCAAGTATTGAGCTTCATCCAAATCCAGAGACCAGAAAATCAGCAAGCAGCCATAATTGGGCTGTGGGACCCACATCCATTTGCCAATCCCCATAAAGCCTCAGATCTGCAAAGCAGCCAGTGCAGGGGCTGGATCTCATCTCCCACAGTGCTGCATTAAATGTGCTTAAACAACAACAAGAAGAAAAAATCTTGTCCCCGTAGCTCACTTACACCATATCTTTTGCCATGTAGCTCAAGGCCTTTGCAAAGCAGGAGAGCCGCGGAGGCAGAAGAGGCTCCTTCAGTAAAAACTGTGGGTTTCAGTTGCTCACTGTCTGAAAGGTTTCTCAGACCCCCACTGCTCTATCACCAAACATGGCACAGTTAGAACAGCTTACAGCAGACTTTAGCATGAGGATAATTATTCAAGAGCCTTTAAAGAGGCTTAAGAGGAAAATATCTTAAAGCTCTGTATTACACACCGGGAAAAGCAGTATTTCTAGCATTCACAGGCACCCTCTTCTGAATTTGGTATGGACTTCTGTTGTATGGATTGATTTCAAGACACGCCTTTACAGCCCCATGTTATTCAGAGTACGTAGCTGTTCTGTCTATGGAGAGGCAGCCAAAGCACTGATCAGCAATGGGAGGAGAGACATGCAGAGGTCTTTTGACATTGCACTGCATGGCAGGTAGCAAGCAGCAGTTGCTGGTAGTTTCCATCTGGTGTCATGTATGATAATACATCCCTTAAGCAGAAATTACCAAAGGAAAAGGCTGAAGTTTCAGTGCAAGTACATGCATGTGTGTTCATGCACATTACGGTAATTACAGCACAGATTTGTGGAACTAACAGGAAATTGAAAGGAATTAAAGCTCACATTCCCCCTCTTACTCACAAATTAATTTTTTAATGTTATCATTCACACAAAGCAAATTAGGGTAAACTGCCACCAAAGGAGCACCCTTTCTGTCAACAAAACTGACACTATCTTTCAAATCTTTGTTTGGAAATGGGACTGAAGTAGATTAAAAATTCCCAGAGAAGTTACCATACTTCAAAGCATTGCAAACAGCCCATTCAACACAATTCCCCAGTGTGATGAAATGAGCCAGGTGAGGGTTCCTTTGCTAGTGCTCCAGCCACTATTCCTAAAGCCATGCCGGATGAAGTGGTGGTTTTACATTGGATTTACTGGGGACTTCATATTCTTAATATTGCAGGTTAATTCTTAATAGACAGCTTGCTACTACATATCAGGGCCGTACTGGACATACCCTGGCAGCACAGGAGAGCAGCACTCTGCAGATGGTCCTGCACACTGTGCTTATGCTCTGCAGCCAGAGCCACAGGTGTTCTTTAACACAGACATTTTCATTTGTACTGAAAACTTCGAGCAACAGCAAGTTTTCACTCTCCACAGAGAAGCTGAACAGCTATCTTCCTCATCAAACATTTGCTTAGGGCATGGCAGGGTTTGCTGTTGTCTAAATGGTTAATCTTGACTTTTACAGAACACCTGTGGTGCTCAGATGCCAACAAGCCATTCTATTCACTTCTTGAGATGACCTTGAAATTAATTTTTAATCTGACTCTCATCTAAACTGAGATGCCTTAAACACAGTGAAACTGAGCATAAGCCTCAGAAGTCCCAATGCAGCCTTCCTTCAACAGAAGAGGATCAGCACAGAATGTGGTCCTCTATAGCCCCTCACCTTCCATAGCAATAAGAACACTTGTCACATCTGAAGTCTGTCAGTAATAATAATAAAAGATAACAACCCTTCATAAATGTTTGGAGGAGTTATGTTGGTTTGGAGAAAGCAGAACTCCTTCTGTAACATATACAAGCTGTTCTGAGCTTCTCAATACAAGTTGCTATATCTTTTGCAATAAAGATGTCCCAAAGGCACACAAAGTCTATTTGTATATATGCAGTTACAAAAAAAAAAAAAAAAAAGGCAACAAATATGGTCCATGCCATGGTAGTTTCTCAAGTGCAGCTGATGTTTCTACAAGGCTTTAGAAGACAAAGCAAGGATGGGAAAAAAACAAACAAGTGTTTGGATGCATTTCTTTTACATGCTCAGCTGAAAAAAAATAAGCCTAGAAGGGAGCAAGCAGGGGCAGGAACAGCAAATTCCCTGTCAGAGGAATCAGACATTGCAACAGAGCCTACTGGTCTGAAAGGTCTCAAATATGTATGCACATCTTGCTAAGCCTGCAAGATAGTGTCTTATTTGAAACCAGACATCTTTTGGAAGCTGAAAAATAATAAAAACACAGGCTCTATTCTTTTTAGATGTGGGACTGAATCAAAAGAGGGTTTAGATATCCCAGCACTCGATGCTGGGCCACTCAGTATTAGATGCCTGACCATTGCAGTGAGGTCTGCGGCCTGGCTGAGGCATCCAGAAAAGCAGACCTGGAGCCAAATTTCTCACTGGATATACAGTCAAAAAGGAGCTTCTGATCACATTCTTTTTCTTACTCTTACAACATGAGTATCTGCACTTTTCAGTTATCTCAGCAAAGGTAATAGCCCATTTCAGGTTCCTCAGCAGGGTCTTACATGGCTAGGCCAGTGGCTCCTCTGCCCATTCTGTGCACCCACTCGCTTCTCAGCTGCTGCCGCCTTGCTGCTTCAGCAGGCAGTAGCTTTCCCTGTGGCAGCTTCTCAATTTGCTCTTCCACAAGATGGCAGAGCAGCTTCTCTCCTCTCCACCCTCTTTCTAGAGCCACTCTTTAGCATAGAAGGGTAAAAGCGCAAGAAGCCAGTAAACACTGGTGTTAAACAAGCTGACAGCCAACCAGACAGGGCCAAGGCAATCTGAATCTCCTTCACGCATCTACTACCCCACCCATCAGCTCCTCTCTATCTACGTGGCAAGTCAAAGCAAATTACATATCAGAAATATTACCTAACACCATACAGTAAGAACAGTCTTCTGTGCTGTACATACATTTCATTGTTTCATGCATTCATACATTCATTATTTCATGGTTGAACACAATCACCACCTGAATCATTCCTCTAGTTGTTTTGCCTTGCCCAGCACCGTCTCCTCGTTACAAATTGATCCATTCCATTTTCTTTTCCATCATCACCTCTCTTTGAGGAAGTCTTGAACAGTAGCAGGCAACCCACATTTGCTAAGTTGCCTCTATACTGAAAACATTGCAAATATACATCTGTGTAAGTGAGTGTCTCAAATTCAAAGTAGTCTTTAGGCCTCCTATGTGGGAGTGTGACTCCTACATTGTTCTTTCTCATGAATTTTCTCTCCAGAGGCAGAACACTGAGTAAAAGCAATTGTACCATCGTTTCGTAAGACAATTCCTATTACTATTTTCCCATAAGTAGGGAAGAGGAGTAGTACTAAGTTAGAAAGGTTATTTTACCTATCATGGAGACAGAGGAGATGAGAACTTCACTTATCCCACCTACAAGCTTAAAAAAAAAAAAAACAACCAACCAGCAGGATGGACCTGCTAATGAGTTTCTTTACTCAGTTCTGTGTAGGTTCCCATACCACCCCCTCAACAGCGTTGTTCCGATCGTTTTCCTGTAGAAACGGAGCTACCATCTGTGATGTGTGGTTTGCTCTCCTTAATCCTGTGCTGAAGGGTAGATTCATGCACTTATTTTTATTTTAAACAAATGTTCCACCCAGGAAGTGCATCATGCTTCGCTGTGATTAGGGAAGGCTGATGGAGCAGCTCCTGATCGGCGGCACTGTACACACTTTGCAAGTGTGTTCAGCCAGGAAAACACCAGGGACAGAGCACCTAAGTGCATGGAAAGATGCAAGGTTCCATCAATGCCAAGAAAACAGTACAGTACAGAACCAAGACATATAAGAACAGAGAAGTTGAGACACTACTGCAAATGGTAACACTAGACACAACTCAAAAACATTGACATGAGGTTACATCAAGTCCCTCCAAACTCTTGCCTACTTATGCTAGACTGTGTGCACTTCCTGCTCCTCGTACATACACCAAGAGCACAGATTGTTACAAAAATGCAGAATTACAAACACAAAACAAAATGTTGAAAAATAGTATTTATTAGCACCCAATTTACATAATTATATGGTACAAATGACACTTGCTGCTGCAACATTAAATAAAGCTGCTTTTAAAAACCATTGCTTATTTCTGGAAGTCCATGTGATTTTGCTCAGCACAGAATGCGGGTACAGTATACAGCTATCCCACTTCACTACAGTCATATCAATATAAATACCTGCATGGTTATTTCTATGTGGTCTCATTTTAAATGGCACTCTAAAATATGCAGACCTATACAATTTTAATGACAAAATATTTATTTGGACTATTCAAGCAAGTGAATGTAGTTTTAAATATAACCTATCCAAGAACCTTCACAAAGTATGAATTGCAGCGAAAAAGAGAAAATTCAGGGCCACAATTGAGAAGCTCAAAAATATACTGGCGTATTTCAAAATAATCTCTCTCTGAATTTTCTGTCTTCGCCATTTGAGATATTTATCCAG